CCCCAAAACCCCAAAACCCCAAAACCCCAAAACCCCTTAAGTTGAAATCAAAGGTATAAAATAATTTTAGTGTGAATTTTTTCCTAAATTATGCTTATAAGTCAAATCAATCTTATTTTGGAATGAGCTTTCCGTCTTCGTGGACTGAATCATAGAAATCATTCGTGAAACTAGCAATGGCAAAGAAGTTCACAAAGTATAAAACTGTGGCCCACTCAATGAATGGTGTTGGAACAGATGATTTCACTAAGGCAATTGAGATAAGGAATGCAACCAAAAAAATGAGTAAACCCCAGGTATTGTTCATCATCAATTTGATGCTTCTCTATTATGATGCTGGAAACTTGTCCTTGTTTTGGTAAAGTGCTCTACCTAACAGGATACAATAGAATCCAAACCCGCCAAAGAAGATGAATGCGCAGGTTCCATGAACAGGTCCCCATTGATGTTCGTCAAACACACCAATTAAAGGTAAAGCAATACATGAGAGACCACCGAGGATAATCAAGAAGTCATTGTATTAATCTGAGACTATTCCATAGAGTTTCTTGTAAAAAGCTCTAATGTTGACTTATTAGACTCCAAACATCATTATAGCAGTCAATATGATGAAAGTTCTATCGTACATAGGAAGAGCAATTACATCTGAAACCATTGGGAAATCCTTGGATGTGCACACAAATTCTTTTTCACTGCAAGCAACAACACACATAAGTATAAGAGTAATTGATATTCCAAAACTCAAAATAAGTGTCAAATCCTTCAAGGATAGGGAAATAACTCCATCATCAATTATGAAGAACTTTGAGAACCAAGAACCATAATTTTTCTTGTTTTGTTAGGGTAGTAAGAGACTTGGGACTATTTTATGTTGTTATGTTGGTTCAGATTCTTTTAATCTGAACTTGTTGTTACTCTGTTGCGATGGGTGGTAAACTAGGAAGCCATTTTGATCAACTCCAGTCTAAATGTAATTTTACATAATTGGATTCTTTGTATATTATTACTAATTATTAAAAGGATCCAGTATAATTTGAGCTTATTTATTTCAAGTTACCAGAGGGATATTCGATATTCATAGTGGGGTTTTGGGGTTTTGGGGTTTTGGGG